TTGAATTCGAATAATATATCAGTTTCTCTCTATACTTGTCTTTACTTTATAATCTTTATTTCAAAACAAAATATACTTTTTTCATAATCTCTTAATCCATCAAAACTTATTTTAAGTGTAGCCATAATTTCACCCTCAGGGGTAGCTTTTAGTCTATCAATTGTACTTATCCATACATCAAGATCTTCCTTGTACAGCAGAGAACCAAGCACCTTAAGAGCTAAAGGAAGGCCTCCAGTATAATCTACCACAAGATTTAAGAGCTCCTTAAACTCCGTTTCAGGTGAATTTCTCTTGAATGCGTGCAAATTGAAAAGCTCAATTGCTTCATCTCTTTCCAAAACCTTTACCTCGTAAGTTTCATGCACATCATGGTTTTTCAACAGTTTCATATCCCTAGTTGTGATAACAATTCTACTACCACTACCAAACCAATCTTCAGCTCCGACCAGCTTATCCAGCTGGTCATTATGATTAACATCATCAAGAACAACCAGAACTTTCTTAGAACAAAGTCTCCTCTTTAATATTGCACACATTTCTTCAGTATCAGTACAATCTACAAATTCTACCTTCAACAGTTTGGAAAGGAGAGTCTTCTGCAAATACAACAAGGTATGGTGTTGCAGATATTCTTTAACATCTTCGAGAAAACAAGCACCTTCAAAATTCTGATAGTATCTGTTGAACAATGCTCTTGCAGCAGTTGTCTTTCCCACACCACCCATCCCCCAAATCCCAACAAGACGAACTCCTTTCAGGTCCATCCTCAACAATGAACTTAGTTTCTTAATTTGGGATTCTATTCCAACTAAATCTCTGTTAGTTATTGAGATAGAGAAACAAAATTTGTCGAATATGTCTCTCACAATCTGTTGTATGCATTTTGAGTCATCCCTGTATGCCAACAAAAACTAAATCTTTAAATTGAGTGCTATTTAATACTGAAAAGGTATGCATTGAAGAAAGGAAAAAATGACTAAATTGTCTGAAACCATTAAGGGGAGTTGAAACTTCAGTTCCCCATAACTGGATTTAACAATTTTAATCATGCTATGGGAATGAACTTCTAAAAGAATAGGTCCATGGTACTACAACAACAACAACAACAAAACTAGTTTGATCCCATAAATGGGGTCCGGAGAGGATAAAGCTAAAGAGTTGGAAGGAAGGTTATCGGCAATGGGAGCTTGGAGAAGTAGTGGG